ATCAGTATAGTTTGGTATTGCAAAAGATCAACAATTCATTTCTCTATTTGACTCCCAAGCAATGTATTTTCTGCTATTCCGAAGCCGCCTGTCATTTCAGACCAACTTGAAATAATTTTTTCTTCTGAAGACACTGGGGACCAAACATAAAACTGAAAACAGAGTATCAGAAAAGTTTTATGATTGGGTTTCTGTTCTGCAAAATGTTCATTGTATTTCAGCTGTTCCCCATGAAGACCAGGTGGAGCATCTTGTGCTGTCGTGTGTCACGGCTCATATACTAGTCAGGTGTCTGTATGCTGTACTGTGCATTCCCTCCCATTAAAGCATAAGCTGAGTAGAAATAATGAGGAAAGTCCTTAGGGCAACCCTGGGAGATAAATGTAGATGTATAAAATGAGTTTCAGAAGGCAGAAGAGATAAGACATCAGGAGTGACTGTCAAACAACAGTAAGGGATGGAGCTGTATGAAACGTGACCATGTGTCAAAGTTTGCCCATAGGTGGTGGAGGAGTTTATGTACATCATAATTGCTCTACACAGAAAGTGATGGGGGAGGGGATGATGGGGATGATGTGTATTAATAGGCTTAAAAAGGTCTTAGTGGAAAAAGCCACATGCTTGTGAAATACAGATGGAGCCTCAACACAATGATACTGATCTTGATGGCCTTCTGGGCCTCTTTCCATCTGCTGCATTTCTGCCTGCTAAACCGGGTCCCAAGAGCACAATAAAAAAAAAAAACAACCCTTCTCCAAAACTAGCCCTGCCATGGCTAAGGGAAAACTTTGCTCTTTGTATTAGAATTCCTCAGAATACTATGAAACAAGAAGAATATTGTTTCTTTTCAGGAGGGGTTCCTTGCTTGCATTGTCTAAATGCTTCCCCCCAGATAACCTTTTGACTGCTGGTTAGCTACGGTTTTATTAATAGCATTTATTCCAGACTTAGTTATGTCTGACTTATCATGCACAGAGCTATGTGCTTGATTGTGATACCATGGGTTTACAAAAGAATTCCCTGAGATATGAAGCTGTGAATGACGTTAACAGCGCCAAGGGATGCGTGCATCCCTCCTGGTGTCTCTGGGACAAAATCAGCTTAATGCCATTGTTTATGCCAAGAGGACATTGGCATTAGGGCTACAGCTGACGCCACTGGTGACCAGGTGATGATCCCCTAAAACCAGGATTGCTAAAACAGAAGGAAAGCTGCCATAATGCTTCCAGTTTGCTATGGAAAGATTTTAATTCTGATGTCTGGTGTCTTCAAAGAACATGCAGCACAGTCCATGAACCAGAGCAGGAGACAAGTGGAAAGAGATGAGCAGACAGCAGCCCTGTCCCTTGGATGGATTTCTACTAAATACCACCATTGTGAGCCTTGGTGCTGTGGATGCATGACACTCAGAGGAATGTCCTTGCTTTAAAACCTCAGTTGCCAATAGAAAAAATGCCAGGGAAAATTCAATTCTTCTGAGGTGCCAGTATATTTAAAACAAACAAACAAAACCCCAAGGGAAATCATCCCAGTCTACTTCCAAAGAACTGGAGGATGTAAAGCCATGTTTCTGGGAAAGCAAATTCACATTAAGCCTGCAAGTAGGTTTTGCAGCCTCCAGCTTTGGGGGATGAAGAACTCCTCTGCTGACTGCGCTCAGTGAAGTGTGGGGTGATGCTGCTGGGCAGCGGTGGAAGTGCCTGGGGGCGGGAGCAGGCCTGAGCATCAGGGATAACGCTGGGGACTTTCCCTCCCTTGGATGCTCATTGCAGTAGAGCAGCAGAAGCAGAGCTGCCTCAGAGCGTGGGTATGGGTCACCGTCTGTGGCTGCAAGGCATTGGGACTCATTTTCCCATTTTTTGTTTTAGTCTGACCCCATTTTTACAGCCTGTCCTCTGGATCCCTCCTTCATGGGGTCTCTGGGGCAGTGACCCTGCTGTCCTTGCAGACAGCTCCACCCTTGCTCTTGCTACACGGAGATGGCGTTGGTCTTGTGTGCTCCACACCGTTCAGAGGGAGAGGGGAGGGAAAACAAAACCCCATCCATCTTCAATCTAAATATAGCCCAAAGTTCATTCCATCCATCTTCAATGATACCTTGTGGCTGGGTAAATGGTGACTCGCTTCCCTACAACTCCGTGGTGGTATGTGCTGAGAGGGGAGAAAATAGCAGAAGCAACCACCCACACATCTCTTCAGCTTTCCTGAGAGGAAGCCATACCTGGGTGGCAAACTGTCTGCAACTGCCTTGCCAGTGGTCACGCATGGTCCTCCAGCTCTGGGTGGTGTTTTTGTAGGGGCCATGATTAGAGGTGAGGCACATTCAGCGCTTCAGCTCAAACCTTCCGTTTGATGCAGCCGTGGGAATTCGCAGTCCTCCTATTTTGCCCTGGTGCAGTTTCTCCTGGCCTGCAGTCTGTCAAAGGGCTCGCTCACGCTCTCTGGGTGGGACTCAATAAGGACATTTACATCTGTGCTGTTCACCCACATTCTCTTTGTCGTCATTGTAGAATTGATTGATCCACTCAGTGAAAAGAAGAGCATAACTCATCTTCTCCTCAAGTATAGACCTAAACCAAGTCAAATCACACCCTAGAAGTGCCTGTTCCCTGCTGCTGGTATGAAGCGAACATGGGGGTCACTGACACATTTGGATGTCTACATCTAAGTGTGGCTGAGATGAATTATTCTCCAAGAGCAATCTATCATAGGGATTTAAATACGAGTTGCCAGCACCTCTGGCCTTGTTTCACCCACACTGGCTGTTGATGCCTGAATAAACTCAGTACGATATTAACTTCAGTCAAATTCTTAAAGCTTGATATAATTAGACACACTGGGCATAGTGCTGCTGCTGACAATGCACCTGTATAAATGTGTCCCCCGATGGGTATTTATTTCTAACTGAACTAAGGTATGCGGATTTGGGATAGGACCCAATCTGGATAATTATAATCTCCGTGACAAAGGTGTGTTTGGACCCCTCCATGTGTCAGGAAAGGGAAAAGCATTGCTGTTCTTTTGGGGCATCCTTTCTTGCATTCTTTAAATAAAAATCTTCCTTCCAGACAGCCTCCTGGTTGACACTTAGGTAACTATTTTATTAATTGGATTTCATTCAAGGTAAATCATGACTAAGAATTGCAAACAAAGTGGTAATTCCCTGAATGAGTTAGTTCAGATAAGGATAGAGATTTTGAATTGCTGCTTAATCATAACTGTGTCAAATACTTCCATCCGCGACACACTGGCGTAGTCAGCAGGATATACAAAAACACCAAAAACTTGGAGTATGCATTGAAATGATGCTACTGCAAGCACCAACCTCCCCCGACATAACTCAAATTAGAAAATGAATTATGTCTCTTGAAGACTGGGGTGATAATATTTGGGCTGCTTTAAATACTAATGACTCAGACAAAGATAATTCTTATCCTCCGCCTGAGTATCCCCCACTCCCAGTCAGACCAATTATTAAATGGGAAGTAACTATAGGACCTCCGGGTGGTGTAGAAGAGAAAAAACTACCACCAGAGAGGTTGGTGTTGCCATGCTCTGCCATCTCACAGCTGTCCTGGCTGGAGAGCTGAGGAGTTACAACAGCTCCACCCTTTAATATTATGAAAATTCCAAGTAGATGATGAAGGGATGTGTCATGTTGCGTTTCACCTTGAAACAAGGAAATGGGGAGTTTGCTGCTTTGCTACCAAGGAACAAAATATGATGCTAAGCGATGTGAGGTGGTCAGCTTTGTGAGGAAAATCTCACCCAAAATATGTGGAGTTGTACATACATTGGGGAGGGGAGAAGCGTCATATATGTCCATGGAGGAATGCTCCCAAGGGTGTGTATCCATGTAGCACTAGGTCTGTCCCTAGTGTATACTTTGCATGTATTGCTTATGCATACCAAAACATGATTTCTCTTTGTTTATCTGTTCATCATAAGGGACATCTGCCAATCTTCCTGCACTGCAGCAATGCCCCTATCAGCAGAGACACCCACGCTATTGGTTTTCCCTGAGGGGCAGACGTAAATTCTGGTGTAAAGCTCAGACTTTGTGTTCTGACACTGTTTGATTCTTTGGCATTTGAGCACGGCAGCAGCCTGTTGGCATTTTGGAGCATTTTTTCTGGTGTCCAGAGCCGCAAGGGGCCAGTGCCGTGTAAAACTAGGGAGTGGGAAGACCCTAAAACTTCAGAAACAGGAGGAAATGTGAAATGATGAGAAAACGGGAGCAGATGGGAGAGTCAAAGCAAGGTTCAGAGAGTTGTCCAACATAGGAGAGCAGTGGTTATTAGAGGACGCTTTACAAAAAGGTAAAAGAACAGGGAAATACTCCAAAACACTGTCCTAAACATCAAGCAGAGACTTCCTAAGCTAAATATTTCTGCACATTTTGTAATGTACAGAAATAGATTTCTTTTCCTGGAAGTGGTACTGTAACCCTTTACACAAATGTAGACTGTGAACAACCACAGCATGCCATGACCAACTTCCCACAGTTCAGCTGTAAAAGCAAAGAACAACTTTCCCCACTTTCCTTTGAGCCTGATTCACTTGATACCCTCTAGTTCTGCTGGAAAAGACTATGGATAGTAGATCTCCACTTGTCTACAGACAAAACCTTTTCAATGAAGTAGCCTGGGATTTACCATGCTGCTACCATAATCATCTCTGCAGAGGGCATCAGCAGTGGGGAATCACTTGGGATAGGGGAAAGAAACAACAGCAGGAGCACAGGAGCAGCAGAATAACACACAAAGGGAATCTGCAGCCTTGTGATGGGGGCAGACATCCTAAAATTGGGGCTGGTGAATAGGGAAGGTGAAGGAGGAAAGAAGAGTCTACCAGCTCTACAAAATTATTTTATTGGATTTATGAGTATTTTTCATGGACCTCACAAGCACCCAGAACCATAACAAAGAGACTAACCTAGTGCTCTCCTCATTTGATTTAATTTTCTGTTTTTATCTGGCTTTTATTCTTTTTTCTTCCAGGTTGAATTCACCCCTGATCAGATTGAAGGTGAGGAAGATGTGTTTCTGTTCTGTGCACAGTAAATACCGTCACTGGGAGGTGCTGGCAAGTGCTGGGGAGGACACGGGTGTGGTATTGGAGCATCTTTGAGAAGGGAGTTGACTCCTGTGTTTTTAAGTCATGGCTTTGCTCCTGCTCCATCCCTCCTCCAAATGCTCTCATGAGTTCGTCAAGGGAAAAGGAGGAAAGTCATGCGCCATGCAGATTAGGTACTTTTTCATTAAAGAAAACATCAGCCTCATTTGCCAATGAGGCAAAACCAAGAAAAAGGAAAAAGCTAACCCCCTCAAAACCTTACTCCAAATATATGCTTTTTCTTTAAGAAAATCACTAGCAAAATATCAATCCTTTCAAGAGAAAGTCTCACAGCTCTATCTTTGAGAATTTTTCCCTGTATTCAATCAGAATTAAATGTGGTATAGTTTTGTGACAGCTCTCCAGAAACCAGCAAATAATGACAGCGATGGTGGTTTTTTTTTCTTTCAAAACAAAACATCAGCATTAGTTTCTGAACCCCTTGTCCCGGCCCAAGAAACTAATACTGAAACCTCATGCACAAAGTCCTGGGAAGACTACCACTGCAGCTGTCCCCTTTTTCCTCAACTCCCAGCCTGCTTTTTACTTAAAGAGATAATTGATAGATGGAGTCAAACATCTGGCAGAATTTTGCTTTGGTCTTTAAACACTTGGCAGAACTTGGTAAAGCCTATGAAAGATGCTATCAGAAAATGGGGTTAATTAGAACAGATGAAAAAAAAATTAATCACAGAGTATCCAGTCAGACTGATTCAGAGAGAAGAGACAGAGAAAGAAGGATTTTCAGAACTGGAACCAAATGCCATAGTATCTTAGAGACTGAGGCTTTGTCATAGACTTCCAACATTACCTTGGGATTTTCAAGCCTCCCCTTAATGGCTTTAGTTTCTATTTTCTAAGAACAGGTTAAAAGTAACTCATGATTGGAGGCAACTTTATTTCTGGGAACCTGCCCCTTATCCAGTCCAAAGTCATGGGAGAACTGTAGGCACAATTCTGAGCCAAAAACTTGTGAATTATTCCAGCAGCACACAACATCTGGATCTCTCAACAGCTAGTGTTTTGGGGATTAGACAGGAATCACCTAGTTTCTATGCCTTGTTTTCTCTCTCCCTGAGCTGAACTAGCTCTAGAGACTATATCAGAGAATGGAAAAAGGCCTATTCAGAAAATAACGGGGTGCTTGTCTGGCCATCGGCCAGTTTGAATGACTAGGAAAGGGCAAATTTTGAGCAACCCCAGGGCTGCCATAAAATGTAGCAGGTCTAAAGCAGATGTAGTCCTTCTCTAGAAACAGAAAATTTCTTCTTTTTTTTCTTCTTATCTTCTTACAATTGCCTTCTGGTCTAGCTGTATTCACTGCATACACAGAGAAAAGCTGGGAATCCAGGACTTGTGATATAGGATGTCCTTGAAATATTAAAGGAAAAGCCATGGGGCAGGAAGCAGATAACATCATCTGTGTGAGAAAGGCTGTGAGACCTCCAATTCAGCTACAATGTGGCAGAGTTATACTGTATGTTAGCACTGGGGAGAAACACTAAACCCATGCAAGGTTAATCCCACATTTGGTTCATAGGTTCTGCCATGAGTTGCTGGAAGTGGTCCCTAATGGCCTGAACATCACCTGGGGACTGATCACTGCTCATCAGTCAGCTCCTCAATTCCTTTCCTACGGGCCTTTTCTGGTTCTTCTTTATTTTTTTTTCCCCTCTCCTTCATCTGACCTTTAGAAGGTTCTTAGGTTTATAGATGAGTAGGCAGACAGATTGATAGTTGCTAGATAGATATTTACTCCTAGGCAGAGCTTAGATGCTTCAGATGTAGAATTATATCTGCAACATGGTCCACAGTTGTCCCTGGATTGTCCCCAGCACACGCTGTCCACTATATTGTTTGCACATATCAAAATGTGCCACCAGTTTAAGAAAGTGAACAATCAGTATCCCAGTGCTTGAGACTGTTTTATTTTGTGTTAAAAACACAGGTTAGAAAGCAAGCACGACTTGCCATGATTTATAACTGTTATACTGGCTGTTGGCATGACTTGAGAGTTGGGACTCACAGGAGCTCTACATTAATTTGTTTTCTCCTTCCCATTCTCTCCTCACTCTCTCAAGCTTCCAAGATTGCCAGCTCTCCATTTCTTCTGGGTTTCAGTTGCACTTGTTTTGCTCTGGGTTCATTTCCAGCTCTGCGCTGCACTGTTAATTTTGTCAAATGTCGTCTTTCAGGAAGTCATCAGGAGATCAAAGTCACCTGTCACACCTTTATATGTGTTTGTTTAAAAATAGACCTCTAATATATAATAACCTCTCTCTCTCTGTTGACCAGATGAGGAACCTAGGTGTCTCAGTGAGACTAGATCCTTCCCCATTTGTCAGCTGAAACTAGATCAATAGGAAGTTCATCATATGTGTTAGACATTACTGGCCGTCAGTCTATCACCACTGACCCCAACTGGTTTTCTGGCAGCTGATTCTGAATTGAGGTGGTGGAGAACAAACAGACAATGCAGCATCTCAAGGTCTTTTCCAGCCCTATCTTCTAGGATACTCTGAACCTCTTGCTAAGCAAAAGACTTTGTTGCACCAGACTTACTACCCTGCAAGGATTCATTATTATGTTAGCCCTCCATATGTTACTTTCAAAAGGAGAAGAATGGTCTGTGCCTGAAGCCATGTGTAACACACCCATCTTTACATGTCCTCCTGCCTCAGCTGCTAGTGAAATTCATTGGTTGTGGCAATGTGTACTTATGAAACTGGATTCCTGGCCTCTTCAGTCCCCTAAATTGCTGAAAAGAGAAGAATATGAGCTATTCAAGATGAGAAGATAGGTAGCAATTAGGCGTATGAAAATATACACTGCTCCTGCCAGTGGTTTAATGGCTAGCAGGAGGATGAAGGAGGCCATAGCCACACTGGTTTCATTGCTTTGATGGGAACTTGCATTAAACCAGCAAACGCAAATGCAAATGAAAAAAAAAAAAAGTAAAAAAAAAAGTCTGTTTCTGTATATTGACAAAATGGGGTTTCCAAACCCACAGGCCAATGCTCTGGTGAGAGGTGGTTACATCTGATTTTAAATTTAAAAAAAAAAAAAGGGGGGGGGGGGAAAAAATGTGAGCTGTCAGTGACTATGATGAATTGAGAACCTTTAGGAAGTAGTGCGAAGGGCGCTCAGGCAATTGGTCTCCAGGAGCCCTCAGGTGCTGAGAACCTCAGGAAAGGATAGAGCTGGGAGTGGGGCTCTGACCCCCTTCCACTGTCAGCAAGGAGCCCTTGAAAATCCACTATTGCCCTCTGCTGGAGTGAGGGCTGCCAATGGGATTCAGGCTCTGACCCGTGATGGATGAGGCAAAGATCCAGGAGAGAGAGGCAGGGGGAGAAAGAAAGAGAGTGAAAAGAGGAGAAGAGAAGAAAGGAGAAGAGGAGAAAGGGAAGAAAACAAGGGGAGCACTAATTAGTCCAAAATGAGAAAATGCAACACTGTTTGGAAGTGTTGGATGAGGAAGGAAATGAGTAAGATACCAGTGGAACTATAAAAATGAAAAGGGAGGGAGAAAGGAGGAGAGGCAATGCCAGCAACACTGGAAGAAGGAAGGAGAGGGAAATAAGTGAAGGAGAAGGAAGAAAAAAGAGGGAGGGGGAATAATAAGTAGGAATTGAGAAGGGAAAGATGGAGAATGTCTGGCATGCAGAGTACATGGCTCGATGTTTGAATGAGTTGGGATGTAGGCAAAGAAAAGATAGCTGTACTGCGTTTGGAAAGTAGGAGGGAAACCCATACAGAAGAGTAACAGCAGTGCAAGGGGCAGATTCGGGGATCCATAGCTTTAAAGCCAAAGGGATATTTGTGATCACATGTAGACCATGTACTACACAGTGTGTTCATTAAAGGATAACAACCTATCACTGGTGCTTGTGCCTTGAGATGCTCCTCTGTCTCTGCAATGTCTCTACAACCCCAACAGAGAGAGGCAAACCTGAGTAACTAGTGTGTCTGGGGAAGTCTCCCCTGGGATCCTGCACTGACCCCATTAATTAATGGTAGAACAGGGACCCTCTCCCGTGGGAATGCTCGTGTCAAGGTATTGCTGCTCAAAGGGATTCCCTTTTTGGCCAGAAGTAAAGAGAAGACATGGGGATAGGTTTACAGGCATGTAGTGGAGGGGAGCTGGCTGTCCTGCAAGGGGAAGGGCTCTGCATGGGCACTGGGGGTAAAGCAGGCAGATGTGAAAACACTGGTGGGAATAAGTCCATCTCCACACACGAGAACTGGCCTGGCATAGGTATCTGATGGCATACCAAAATTGATTTCTCCAGGTGCGATTGGATTGAGTGCTAGAAACAAGAAAAATCAGAGGATTCTTCTAGATTCGGTCCTTGATACTGTTAAATACAACAATTGATCACTTATAAGGTTTTCCATACACTTTCACCCTCCCCCACCAATAGACTGCTTGTCATGTGATTAGTCCAGTAGGTAATCATGGCATATCTTGTTACCGCCTGACAGAGGTGCTCCTTTATCTCAGTGAGCTGTGTCAGTGCCCTCTAACTGTGTAATGCTGAATACAATATCCAGTTAGCTAATGAGCAGAACTGCGATTTAATCCTGTGCCATCCTGGGTGCTCCTGGCGAGCTGGAAAGCTCTCAAGGCCAACCATTTCCATAAGACTTTCTGCACTTCCTGACGTTAGCTGAGACGGAAATACCATGAGAAGAGCATTCGACCTCTCCGATTCCATTCCCTGATTGAACTGGAAAATGCAGGGGAGGAGGAACACAAACATTGGAGATAACAGCAACAACAAAGCTCATCAAAATTATTCCCAAACTGCAAAATAAAAGGGTCAGGCAGAGTTAGATAAGGGGAAGGTCTTGGCTTGCTTTGACTTTATCTGAGGGATCATGACATGCATTTCTTCTTATGGTTTTGTCTTCCAGAATTTAAGGAAGCGTTCTCACTCTTCGACCGGACTCCTAAGTCTGAGATGAAAATCACATACGCGCAATGCGGAGACGTTTTGAGAGCTTTGGGGCAGAATCCAACCCAGGCTGAGGTCATGAAAGTGCTTGGCAGACCCAAACCAGAAGGTTGGTGTCCACCTCTGTGTTTGTTTTGAAAAAGATCACTCCAAGAATTATTTGAGAAGCAGATGAGGTCTCCATTTTCTGATGGAAAGATTAATTGTGAAATAACAAAGGATATGGAACAGCCTCTGCAAATCACTAGCAGAAAAGTAAACGAGGAAAAAAGTGATCTTGCAGTCGATATAATTGTCTCAAATTTAGGAGAACAAATTAATTTAATGGCCCTGTGCGTCAATGTGTTTTACAATGACAAGTTTTGGCCTTTTAAAATTGCTTTGATGACAGGCATTCACTTGTGTTTACTAAAAATGCCAACATTCTGAAGACATCCAAAGAAACAAAGGTGTAGACTGAGTGTGAGGACGTAGTTTGTTCTACAAAAGTGTGTATTAGAGGGTCTATAGTGATTGCAATAATATCTCCCTTCAACATTCACCATACACTGGGTATCTCTTCAGAACAAAGGAAATCTCTCCCAGACTATATCCACGTTCAGGCATTTTCTAGACTATTTCTCTGCCTTTTCCTTCCACTGAGGTGGAACTGTCAAATAGGATCTCATTCAACAATTATGATATGTTAGGATACGGCAATGATGCAGTGGCAGGTGGGACAAGGAGTCATATGGGAACAAAATGCCCTCTGATGCTCTTGAAAGGCAAAGAATCAGGAAAATGGGATACATAGCCCTGGTCCTGCCTATTTGCTCTGAAGCTCCTCTCCCAGTGTGGTTTGTAAACATCTCTGTGTTATAGGGCTGCAAAACAAAGCTGATTTCATATTGGCAATGAGCTTCCCGTACTGTCTTCTGCTTAGTTTCACACTTTTATGTTGCATAAAACAGTCTTGGGAGTCTAACAGTATTTTCTTTCCTTGATGCTTGCATGTATCAGATACTAGGACATATCTATCTATCTATCTATCTATCTGTTAAAACTCATATTTCTCTCTTTGTCAGACCTTTCTCACTCTATCCATTCTTCCATCTGTACTTTGCTCTTTTCTGTCCTTTAGCTGGCATTTATTGCCGCAGTTCTTCTACCCTCACCACCTAAACATGGTGGATGCCCCATGATTAGTCCTCAACTCTCCCAGAATCCACCAAAACTTTCATTTCTGTCCTTGTCTTTGTAGACATGAACTCCAAGATGATCGACTTTGAGACCTTCCTGCCCATGCTTCAGCATATTGCCAAGACGAAAGACACAGGCACCTACGAGGACTTCGTGGAGGGTCTGCGTGTGTTCGACAAGGAGGGAAATGGAACGGTGATGGGGGCTGAACTCCGCCACGTTTTGGCTACACTGGGTAAGGCGAACCTTTCCTCATGCAGTTTCATCACCGAGGTCTTTCCCATACAGCTTGTATCATTCTGGGTAACCGTTATGGAGAAAATGACTGAGCAAGACTTTGGCCATCACATTGTCCTCAGTTATAAAGACCAAAAAAAGTTCTTTAACAATGAAGCTAAAAATCACTGACCTGCAGCTCAAATATTTGTCTTTCCTTCCTCCCTCCTTCCTTCCTTCCTTTCTTCCTTCCTTCCTCCCTTTCTTCCCTCCTTCCTCCCTTTCTTCCCTCCTTCCTTTCTTCCTTCCTTCCTTCCTTTCTCCCTTCCTTCCTCCCTTTCTTCCCTCCTTCCTTGCTTCCTTGTCCTAGTGTTTTATTTCTCCAATAAATATTTCTATCACTATAAACTCAGCCAGACATGGGAAACCCCATCTATTCCTTCAATATTTGTCTCCATTTTTCTGCACCTTCCAGAAAAGTCTTAAGATGAAGCACTTCTTTTTTTTCTCAGTCATCTGTTTAACAGAAATGTCTCTGAAATTGAAAGCTCCTGCTTTTAAAGTAGGGATCAATACTTATCTGTCCTCTCAAATTTTGACTTCAGAAGCTCAGTTTTTCACAAAGAGCGATGGCAACAGAATGAGTGCAGGACAGAGAATTTGGCTGTAATTTAATGATAGGTTTCCAATTTGGATTAGAAGGCACTGACATGTTGTCATCTGAATCCAGTAAGCATTTCTCAAGATGAGCCTTTTCTACTAGCGTTTGTCCACTATTTAAAAAAAAATAAATAGATGAGCCTTTACAAAAAACATTTTATTTAGATCAAAGGATTCCAATGATGTGTTTTGACCTGGGATATCAATTCAAAAAGCCAAAACTTTTATGCCCAGGGGGTTTCAGTCAGTGACACATCCATCTCTGTTAATGACACAGGGAATAAGAAAAAGCAATGCTATTTTCCTTTTTATCACTGGTGCTATCAGATCAGTTTGGGGACCAAATTCAGTGATGACAAAATAACTGCCCCAGGGTCGGGACTGATGCCCTATCTAACCTTACCTGGGATAAAGAAACCACTCTGAGCAGTTTTCTGAGTTTCACAGTACTACAAGAAATATTTTTGCACTTACCCTTCTATTTCCAGTAACCCAGAACAACATGGCAGTATCTGATTTTCAAGCACCGATAGGAAGTATTTCAATCTCGAGACTTAACAGTTCTGTTTAGTGCAGTGTCTGTAAATACTAGTCAAATCCTAGGCACAGCCAAATATTTCGTAAATTACCGTGCTTTTCTGTTCAGTTTTCAAAAACTCAGTTGAATTTTCACAGCTTCACATCAGCTGGGGACTTGTTCCTGCGTGCCAGAACTCAGTGATGGAAAAGTGGAACAACATGAGTAGCAGGGCACACCCAATGCATTTTACTTTATTTTATTTTCATTTCTATGATTCCAGCTGAAATGACCCTCAAATTTCTCATTTACTTTTCTGGAACTCATTAGATCTCTGTGCCTAATATTAGAATAAGGGGATGGATTGGGTTGATCTCTGCTTAACCAAAATGAAGCCTTACAGGCAAATAGGCACCTAATAATTAGATAATTAAATTAAATGGCATGGATCACTGATCCAAATCAGAGATCCGAAGTTTGACCTTGGAATCTTCCTGAAACTCAAACTCAGAGGCAAACTAGATGGTGACTCTACTAAGAGTTTGCTTAGTGAGGACTTGGTTAAAAAGTGACTAAAGCCTTCAAGACTTGGCACTTAGAAAAAGATTATTCTTAGAAGAATGAGTACGTGAACATGATATTATGTGGGTTTCCATATTTATTCTGTCTTTCTGGTTTTCTCAGTTTGCAAGTACAAAAGTAACTTTCCGAGCAGTCAGCACCACAAATTAAACTAAAGAGTAAATCTCCTCCTTTTCTCTCTCATTCTCTTATGTATTCTTTGGTTCTTTGAACTGTGCTTTGTAAATTCTTCAAAAAGGGCCCAGGTACTGAACCGGCATTTTGCTTTCCACCCAGGTGAGAGGTTGACTGAAGAGGAGGTTGATAAGCTAATGGCTGGTCAGGAGGATGCCAATGGCTGTATCAACTATGAAGGTAAGTATGACCACTCCAGGCTGAGCAGTGTTCACATACTTGAAGGCTTTGTTGCAATTGCCCCGAGAAAGTTTAAACCTGTGGGAGATCTAGAGCAGCATGTGTGCTTTTGCAAATTTTAGACCAATTCACATTCTATAACTCATCTGACATACTTTATCTGTTGAAGGTTACCTGTATTTTCCAAAGCTGAATGGCCATAGCCCTTTCAGGAGGTGGGGCTGTATATTCTTACTCTGTTTGCCTTTTTAAAAAAATTTTTACATTATTTTTTCTACCTTCTCCCACAGTTCTTTGTCCTTTCAAAAAAGAGATACACATTCCTTTTGAGACTTCCTTACAGTAAATCACTAAACTTTCCTTCAAAATCTCAGCAAAAAAATGTTACCCTTAGTATCCTCTTTGGCCTCCTAAGAACCCTACAAGACATTCCAAAGGCTTTCTATTTTATTTCATTGCTATTGTAGAAAGCTAGAATAAAAGGATTTGGTCATGAGTACCTGGACCATGGTTCTGTCCTGCATCTTGCAAGCCTGCATGCTTCAGGCTCTTCAATAAAACCACAATATTCTAGTAGGGATCATGAAAATTCGCATTTGTACACAGCTGAGTCGTTAAGGTTAACGGGTGACTGACCATTGTGTCACCTTGGTGATTTAACTGGTCTGTCATATTCACTGAGCCTTTTATGAATATTTGGGTTGGTGGTCTCCTTCTGTTTTCGAATACCAGTGATCTGAGCTCAGGGAAACATTTCTTACAAGTAGTTTATTGGTAGAAATCTGTAGATTTAGCCAACCCAAATGACTCATGAACTTATGCTGAATTCAGAGACGTTCATAACATGGGGGGATTATTGGGAAGGAAAAAAAATACTTCCTTACTGCAAAATGTATTTTTCCTTTTCCATTTGAATTTCAAAATTATGTATAATGAATGTTGTTTTTTTTTTTTTAATGGAGAAAAATGGAACTCAAACCTTTTTGAAACAATTTGCTTAATTTGACTTTGAAATACCTTGTTTGATGGTAAACCTGAGTTCACTGGAGAGATATAGCCACAGTACCTGACTTGGTGACCTTCTGTAGATTCTGGAGGTTCACTCCAGAGGTAACTTCAGTGTCCCCTGACTCAGTACAAAGTGCTGAAGTCTTGAAAGCTTTGCAAAATTAGAACCTAGAGTTTCTCATGGCTGTGTACTTTGGAAAGCCAGTTCCATATGGCAGCCAGGGGTAAGGGATTAAGCAAGCTGTGGATTGACTGATGTCTGTGTTCATTTCCACTGGCCACCTTGACTGCTGGCTACCCCACACTCTATATGTATTATCTTAAGGACTTACAAAGCATTTAGCACCTGGTATCTGGAATCTTATTTACAAAGTATTGTGGTTTTTATTGCATCAGAGGAAACAAGAAGAGTGAATTTAAATAACAACCAAGCTGAGATACCCAGGACCATTACTGAGTTCAAAGAAAGGGAATTGATAAATGACCCTTCTTTTTCTCTTGTTTCCAGCTTTTGTGAAACATATCATGGCTAACTGAATGTCAGGTGAGTCTCTTCTGTCCTCCTTGCACATCCTATTAGTTTGGTTTTGGCATCTGAGATAGGCTTGAAGAACATGTAAGTGAGTAATCAAAGACTGAATATTTTCAGCATGCTGTACAAGGAAGCAGGACACTTCATCCTATCAAGTGCACAGAAAATCGATGACCTTTTTGCAATTGTCTGTTAAATCTGGATGCCTTTGTTTTAGAAGTCCAACATAATATATCCTAAAAGGAATTGATTGCCAAGAATAATTATTCATTCCTTTATGATTGACTGGAAACTTCAAAGGATGCGTATTTTTCATGCCCACTTACAAGGCCCTACTCTCAGACTGCTCCTAAAAAGGCAAGGAGATACAATTGAGCTGACTAGAGAAGGAGTGGGCAAAAAAATACAAGGAAAAGTAGATAAGAAGGAGTAATGCATACTTTTGCTGCGGAACCTACACTAGGAGGATAATTATTGGCCTTCCATAAATCTGGCTCCCAACATCTCCTGGCAAATGGGTTGGTTTTCCAGGAAAAGACATGAGCTTTGTCCAGCATATCTTCTGGCTTTATTCTGTAGTGTTCTCCAAACCACAGTACCATTAAGGGTATCTTTGTCTCCCCGTTGCAAATGAGCTGAACTTTATTTCCAGTATTTCCTGGTCATCATTTATTTTTGTATTCCTGGAAAATGTGCCCACTGTTTTCAGCTGGCATTCACCACTATTTATCTCTTTTCAGCTCTTGGGGAAGGTTTGATCTGAGAGTTAACCAACTCCATCTATTCTGCAAACTATCTGATAAACTGGGAAAAGCAGCAACTCCTTTCAGATTTGTTGTGATTGGTTTTGGTTTTGTTTGGTTTGGGGTTTTTGTTTTGTTTTGGTTTTGTGTTGGGTTTTTTTTTTGTTATTGTTGTTTTGTTTTTTTCTCCTGCTTTGGTTTATTTTTCTACGTTGTCCTGACCAGGCCTGGCTCTGTTTTGGTTTTGGAGCTAACATTACCCCAGCCCACTGAGACCTGTCTGTTGTGTGGTGACTTTCAATTACGTTCACTGGCACCCCAGGGAGGGAGTTAAGAAGGAGTCACATCCAGGTTTTTGGGACTTTTATTCCAAGACATAATTGAACAAAATATAAACTGGCTAAAAAATATGACTGGGTTTCTTGTCTTAGTATGGTCCAGTTTGCTTTCTTAAAAGCATTTATCTTCTCTGAACATACACTCAATTTTCCAGCACTGGCCCCCAGTCTTCAATTCCAAAGATCTAGACTGGCCCACAGCCATAGTGGGTAATCCCACAGCTGGAGTGATCCTTACTTGTTGTTTAGAGATGTTTTCAATCCTTTATGCTATCCTAAACCCAATGCCATGGGAAATTCCCATTCCAATGCCAAAAGTCTTTCTAGTCACCTAAGGCAACGTCAGCCAGCGAAGAAGACAAGTGAGCAGTGGTAAGGTCTGAAGCTGGCGCAGGGCTGGGAGCTGCAGCACAGGGGCCAGCAAGAGTGTCTTTGCTTATGATGGGTTTGGAAAGGGAGCTGAGACCTCCTGACTCACCAAGAACCAATGCGCCACTGATTTGCCAATGAGCCATAATGGGCGTCATTCAGGGGTGGCATCTTCCACTCCCTGCTGTGTTGCTGTTGGCATGTTTAGGGAAATTTGAAAGACAAAATCAGTCTTTATCCTTGAAAGGGTGATGGCCCTTTGCCATAGATCATATAACAAACAAAGCTCAAAACACTGGATATGAACTCAGTGGGAATCTGGATCTGATTCCAAAAATAAAGTAGTGGCTCGTGTTTCTTGGCCATTCCCATATGCTGGAGGAAAGCTAGAGCTGTCTCCCAATATGAGAACTGAACTGTGTCTTTCCTTTTCTCTTTATTTTCAGAGTGTAGTTGTTGTGACTACTCTGTATTGACTTTTCTTACATCAAGCCTCTCTGCTGCCTTGTCCCCAGATGCTACGTACTATTTATAACGCAGAGTAATCAATTGCATCTTCAATTAGTGACTCTTCCACTGCTTTTTTCAGCACCCCCCCAGGTCAAGTGTTCTGCAGCATTATATCCAGCTAGTCTTCCTTCACAGTAGACATTGCTGTACAAAACACTCCCAGATTGGTTACACATCTACTCCTTGCACTATTCAGCGGGAAAGACATGGACAGCAGCACCCATTAAGCTTTCTTAGATAGCTAGAAAGTCCTATACCCTACTGGTGGTCCAATGACCACTGCAGTGTGGAGCACTGGGATATATGGGATATTTGGGATATTTGCAGTGGACTACACGGATCCCCTATGAAGGCAAAGCACACAACGCACCTCCTGCTATGTGACTGAATGTGTGATGAATAGAGTCAACCTTTGCTCCTCGCCTATCTCTTGGATGCATATCCATTCACGGGAGCTGATCAAACAGCACAAAATGCCAGGAAAGACCATCTTTGGGAGTGAGTTGGATTTTGTCAAAGTTGTTCAGATACCTACTTCTCTAACACAAACCTTGTGATACACACCCACCTTATTTAAACATATAAGCTCAAGTAGTAGAGTAGTACAGCTGGAGGGATAGTCTGGAGTGTGCACGCAGAGGCTCAATTTGGTGTCCCACATGTGGGTACATGGTGTTGTTTAAGACTCTCCAGGTGTCTCATACATCCATGGCCTCACTGATGGGACACAGAGACCATGGCAGATTGGTGCTTTCTAGCAGTTGGCAGCCAGGTAGGGTACTCTAGGACATCTTAAGTGGTTCTAGGTGCTGAGGTGTGGGAAAGGGGATTGAGCCCTGTGGCTTGAACTCATGTGACTGTAGGTGAAATCCTAGAATATGCCATCAGTATTTGACTGGCCGACATAGTCTTCCTCAGTTCCCATCAGATTAATATGCCTACAAGTAGGTGTCTACATGAAAGCAGGTTATCTTTATTTCCAGACCTAAAGAAGGTTGTTAGATGGAACATACAGAGTGATTCACCCCTTCCAAAGAGGGGACATAGATGCAGTGAGTCCAGCTGCTGACGTTGAGAGGGACAAACCTCCCACAAACACCACGTCGTTTGTGCCACCTGTATGGGAATGTTCGGAATGCCTTGGGTCTCCCAAATTACATCAGATGCCTATGGTTCAGGAACTGAATCCGGCCTGAAATCTAGATTTTAGCTAAGAGAAATGCCTGTGCTCAAATGTTGCTGATAGGAGACTGACTACAAATAACAGAGGCAGAACAGGAGTAGGAGACACTGCTTAGCGGTTCAGGAACTGGACTGTTTTTCTGGAAAGCTCAGTCTTTAACCTAGCCTCATGTCTGACATGGCTATATTGCCTCCCATGCCTGCTTCCCATGTTTTGTTCATCATTTACACGTTGAGTGTAAGATTGTGGGGTTGGGGCTGACTAAGGATATTTTGTCATGTTGTGCGATTGCTCTTTGATGTGAGTTGGCATCTACATAGCGAAGAGACACTCAGTTGCAGGCCTCGCTGCCAGTAAGCTGAGTACAGATGCATGAGGACGACTGAGGCTGATTCCTGGTGGCATTGTTTGCTTCTTCTTTCTTCCTCTAATGCTTAAAAATATCTTTATTTTTAGGACAAGATAGGCGCCGCGAACCCCAGATGCTGGCCTTGGATTTCGATGTAACGGAATGTCTTCTCATTTTTCAGTCCAGATTCCCATTACAGAGCTACAAAATGTGCTGTCCCAAAAGTTATTTGGATAAATGGATTTTTTTTGTTTGTTTTGTCTTGTTTTTTCATGGGAATAGGGTGGCCTCTGTGGAGATTTAATACACTCAGGAAACTGAAGAAACTGGAATCTGAACTATGAATACCTGGGCACTGTCAATTTTTTTCTGATACAGAGTGTAAACAGCAATACAAAATTTTTAAGGGATAGGGGAGAAAAGAGGAGTAATTTTTTCATGACTAAATCAATCAAAAAATATATTTGTCATTTAGCTTTATCCTTCCCTCCCCTATTCCTTCCAAAACAGCTGGACATTTCTATTGGTGTTTTTTGCATTTGTAAAAAAATCGCTGTAAGAGAGTAAGTGAGACAAGAAATAAAACCAATTCTATAAATCTCATGTATGCAAGGAATACTCTCAATCTTTAAAGAAAGATAATAAAAGTAGAAGGCCCAGCAATCAGCAAGAAGCGCAACCTTGTTCGCATATTTTTTAGCTTTGGAAAATACCACCATTAAAGGAAAAAAAAAACAAAAACAAAGCAAAACAGAAGTGAGCACAATGTTTGCTAAAATGTATGTCTTTTCCACAAGGATTACTTCCCATTCCAGCAGTCTGACCTACAAAACAAGTGAAATGTCTTTCCCAGTGCAAACTGGAAATTGTTCTAATATACATATCTCGGTCCTGTAGTTTTTCGCAGTAGAACATGGGATCCTTTGTCACCTGGTTTCATCATTGTTTCTGTGTCTGTGTGAGGGAAGGGGAAATGGGAAATAAATGCTGTTGGGAAAAACCTCAGTAGAGGCAAAGGAAAGCCGAGAAGCGTGAAAAAGCGCATGGATTAAGTTGGCTCATTTTCTGGGGAATAATAATACAAAAAGTAAAAAAAAAAAAAAGAAAGCTACATCCTTTGGGGGTGGAAAAAGGAGAAGCTAGAGGCTGGTACAGTTTGTTAGGAAATATCAAAAAACCTAAATATGCGACACTCCATTTAAGAAAGAGGTATTGTTAAAACAGACAACTTGGAAACTTAGTGGAGGGAAGACAATCAGTGGAACATTGTAATACCAGGATGCAAACTGCATAGCAATGACTGAATAGGTCATCCCCGCAGAGAAGAATTGCTAAGAATGAAAGAACACAAACAATCAAATTACATGAATATAAGAGCTGTAACAAAATGTACTGTTGAATAGCCATAATAGAAAATCAGCAGTCAGGGAGCTAGATGTAGTATCGAGCTGATGGCAATAACAATAAAATGCTAAAGGAAATTCAAAAGGCTGGTGCAGAGGGAGGAATAGAAAGATGCTAATAATGACAGGAAAGTCTTATATCCAGCCTGGGTTAACTGTATGCAAGGGTGCAAGTAGGTGGCAAAAAAAAATGTCATGATGAATCGCTGGTTTTGAAGAAAGCACCTCTGAAGCAACACTCCTGAAAAGAGCCATGCATTGAACAAGCTGTTGAGAAAGCCATGGGATTAGCAACTATGTCTGCTCTAGTGTGCCAGAGATGGACACCAGAGACAGTCACCATCCATGGTCCATCTCCTCCTCAAGGGTCCCCTTTTGAGCATCCACTTCTATTCCTAGCATTGGCTCCTGTGATTTCCTAGGTCCTAGTTTGTCTTGAGGCAAACACCATTTCATAGGCATCTTGCCTTCACCATCTTGCAAATACATTTTTAGACCCTAATGACAGCTTAATATTGTTTTGAATCAAAGGTATACAGTAGTTGGAAAATGCACTTCTTTCTCCCTCTCCTGCTGGTGCAACGAATCACTTGATAATGTCTCCTGTCTTCTGCGACACTGAGTGTATCTCTAGTTTAAACACCCCTTGAGTTCTAGGACTTGTACAGTTGAAGAGCGCACTGAGGGCTCAATACAGAAACGCTCTTCTCGCAGGTACCATCTGACTACCTCTTCTTTGTCCTCCATCCCCTGTTGTTCTGTCACCAAACCTCATCTCTAAATTGGGCTATTGGCATCACACAGAGTTCTGTGTGGCCTAGTCTAGGGCCAGACCTGTCAAAATTTCCATCAAAATCAAGGCATGATTGTTTGTTCTGACTTCTTTTCAGAGAGATTTAGTTATCACTGCAGGTAACCACATCAGGCGCAGCATAGGTGAAGGAGAAATCCTAATCTCTCCAGTTGGCCACCATCTGCTTTCTTCCTCAACTGCTAAACACAAAGCCACCACCCTGCCGCTACTCAGACTCCCAGTAAGGGGCCACCTTGAGGTATGATATCTAAAGCTTGCAGAATATTTCATCATACATCCCCCAAACACCATCTGTCCTCATCCACAAATGCGGCTGAGCCTTTCATCTGGGCATATGGGTGTCATTCACCTACCCAAGTGCAGATATCTGTAGGGCTGGTGTCCCCATTTGTCCTAGGCCTCAGTGCTTATCTCATTGGCACAGATGGTATCTGTACCATGAGGATTACACATTATTACTGCTTTTGTTACTGTTTTTGTTGTTGCTGTTACTAAAATCACAGTTGAAACACCCTCGGTCACATGAATCCAGCAGGTAGGACTTACACAAGGCTCAATTATTTCAGGAAAACTGGAAGTGCTGGCAATGCTGGAAGTGAGCAAGCAAGTCCTTTGATGGAGCAACACGAGAAGCAAAGACCAACAGGCCAAGAACTCCCACCTGAGTTGGTGGGCACCAGTCAAGAGTGTGAGGCAAGAGGATGGCCAAAGTGCAGCCCACGGGGCAAGCTGGATGAAATAGCAGCTGGTGTTTCACCCCAAGTGTTTTGGTAGGGCTCTTTGAGGAAGGATCCCCAGGTCAGTCCAAGGCGCATAAGCAAAGCTGTGTGGGGGAGAAGGTTGGAACTGCACCTATTGCCTTCCGTGCCTCAGGACATGCTATGGCTGAATTTCGTTTTCATGAGCACAAGATTCACTCACAAGCAAACCAGAATAAATAAGCGGTGTCTCGCCCTTCCCTTCCCCTCCTCCTCCCTGTTACCCCTAGCCCTAAATTAAAGAATAAATAAATAACCTCCTATCTAGAGAATGTTTCTTTAAAAAAAAAAAAAAATGCGGGCAGGAGACATGCCAAGTTTCTAGAAGGTCTTTTTATAGCAGTAGCATCTGGCTCTTTGGGAGACTCCGTAGGGAGTTTTGTTGGTGACTTTACATCTGCTGTGGTTAAGCTGCTAATGGACCGGCTGTCTGGGCTGCTGCCTGTTCCACTGATTCCTTAGTACCATGCTTTGGTTATTTGAGGAGTTCGAGCCTATTGACTTCTTGCCAGAATTACATAGTACATTCCAGCAGTAACTCGCATTGCGACACCCAGGCATGCAGAAGGGGTTTCAGATGGAGCAAGGATATTGGCTGGCATTTCATTACCCTCTCCTTAAACCCACCCAAGCCTGGATTAGAGCAGGGGGCGCAGCGTGGATTTTTTTTTTTTTTTTTTTTTTGATCCAGAAGCCAAAGGGAATACTGTAATATTTTTTTCAGTGGTGTCCACAAGCAAATAAGCAAATAAATACATCAATAATTTAATCTATGGGGGTCAATTAAAAATATTTTACCCCCTAGTGATATGCTTCAGCTCATTTTCTTACTTATTAATCACTCTAAAAGCTGTTTTTTAACCTCAAGTAATTAATTACTGCCTCAGAATGGAAAATCAAAATGCATCCATCTGCATCGTTTTGAAATAAACCATTTTTACATTTCCAACATTTTCCTCTATGATCGGAATTATATTTTTTTCAGCCAAAGCTGTTGTCAAAAATACACCTGAGTTCCTCCGTAATGCCATTCCCCAGAGAATCTGCAGTTTTTCCCAGAACTGGTTTCAGGATTAATTTTTCTTACCTGACCCATTTAATTTTTCATACCTTTTGCTCTTATAATGAGATTAATTGGTCCTTAGAAACACTGTTTCTTCCCTCCACTGAGAATAAAATGGTCCTAAAGAACTATTTCAGGAGCAGATTTTTGGAACTCAATTTGGTCAGCTAAACAGTGTTATTTTTGTCATTTGCAATGCTCTAGGCTATTGCCCCAGCTTGCTCACAAGTATGCATATCTTCTGCAAGTCCTCTTTTGAGTTTTTATGGATGAGATTTGTCCTGTTTGACTCATAAGTTGGACTGATTTGCTCACAGAGACTGTCGCTGCATAGACCTTGCCTGTGTACTACTTCACCGCCTCCTTGCCCCACCACAATAAAGTCCACCCCAAGGTAAAATAGGTTTCTTTATCTGACTGTAGCAGCAGTGTTTTTGGAGTAGTAACGATGTGAAAATACCTGTGAATTCATGTTTACTGGCAGAATTAGTATCTGATTATATGATACCGATCTTAAATTTATATATATTTATGCAGAATGCAACCACACTGCACAATGTAGACAATGTGAGCTATGAGTTAACCAAACATCTTGTGATACAGTGTAGTTATTTTTCCCAGTTCTATTTAACATAGAAAATTCTTTGGATTCCCTGAAGTTTCTTATGTAGCTTATGTCCATCTATCCTTCTTCTCCCGTTTATCTGGTAAAGCTGTTGAAATATGTCAAAAGCCCAGCAGAACAGCAAAATGAATGTTTTCATTTATAAATCCAAATGTGCCTGAGTTTCTGAACTAGCTGTTCTGTGAATTCCTTCACTTCCTTTCAATAAAAGTGCCAAGGGAGAGTTATGATGCATGCCAAAGATAAAAGACAGGAGAAATGAAGAAAGAAAAGTATGTATGTGTGTAGGTAGACCTATACTGAATTAAAGCAACTGTGTGTCACTTGGGACAGCAGTAGCATTTGAAGCTGTGCTTCTGTTCCCACCAGGAAGAATCAATGGGTGCACAGGAATAAGCACACAAACAGACAGATAACACAGACTCACACAGAATCTCTCAAGATGTGGTTTGACATTTCTGGAATGAACTTTCTAGTTTGATGATACCAGGCTTTTGGGAGCCTGGTAACAGATTTAAAAAAAAAAAAAA